TTCTCTGTTTTCTCTAATCATGTAGCACCGATTTCAAAATGTGCATTTTTTTTTTATAGCAAAGCTGAATTTTCTTTCAAAATTTTTACTGACCATAAACGTTTAAATGTGTATAATTGGAAATGTGCATTATTGGGAGGAATCCGTTGTGGGATTTCAAATGCATTCTAAATGCTGAAAATGAATGTATTAAGTTAGTTCTCTCACATGTAAATGGATATTTCTACTTGACTAATATTCAACATTGTCACTTGTGATGAATTACAGGACTATTTTGACATAGTGAAGAATCCCATGGACTTGTCTACTATCAAACGGAAGCTCGACACGGGCCAGTACCAAGAACCATGGCAGTATGTGGATGACATCTGGCTCATGTTCAACAACGCCTGGCTGTACAATCGCAAGACGTCACGCGTCTACAAGTACTGCTCCAAGCTGGCGGAGGTGTTTGAGCAGGAGATCGACCTGGTCATGCAGAGCCTTGGCTACTGTTGTGGGAGGAAGGTAAAATGGAAAGTGCAGGAGTGTTTGCACACATTAAATTGTACCTCTGAGGTGGTTCCTGTTTTATAAATCAGTGTTTTTCTCTGTTTGTAGACAGATTCAATAAGAGTTTGATGCCGTAATGAGCGTTATAGTATAGGCGTTGAGTTAACCAAATTTGTTTTCTTGTCCGCAGAGTTAGTCATAACATGGGGTTTTGTGTCATAGCACAGATTCAAGAATATATTTATCTGAAAGATGCATGGAACTGATCTGTATTTACAAACATTTAAACAGACATTTGTCATGTTTTGTGTTTTCGCCAACATGACGCTGGCTAATATTTTTTTTTGTTCTCCCTCACAGTTTGAGTTTTCTCCCCAAACTCTGTGCTGCTATGGGAAGCAGCTATGCACTATACCACGAGATGCTGCTTACTTTAGTTATCAGAACAGGTAAGGAGTTTAAAACTGAGGCCAATATCAACGGACACACAAGCATACATATATATCTGAATGACCCATGTTATGATTATTTATTACATATGCATGTAAAACATGTTAAACAGCTTTTTTTCCACTGTACCTGGTCACATAAAGTGAACTGACAATTGCACCACAGCTGATAAGCGTGTCTTCTTATCCCACCTTTTCCACCAATCAGTCCCTTGTAAAACCCTGTGTGTGAAAAGACTTGGCATTTTAAAGTGTGCTCCTTTTCTGCTACATACAGGTGCATCTCAATAAATTAGAATGTTGTGGAAAAG